GCCTCTTCTTCCTCTATCCAGCCTGTAAATGTTGACAAATCCCAGGCTGTTTCTCAGCCCTTTTCTTTTTCTTTTTTTTTTTAATTATTTTATGGTGGGGCACGAGTGCATGTCCACTAAGTAGCTGGAACTCTGGGCCTGGCCCTGAGCAGAGCTAAGTAAGAAGTGCTCGCCGGTAAGTGTTCCAGGAAGACTTCCTCCTTCCCCTGTAAGCCGCTCTTGCAAGGTCAGCCACAATACCCCTGTTGGCAAATCCAGTTTTCTTCTGTCACCTTAACCTTTTAGCAGCATCTGGCACAGGTGGCCATTCTTCCTTGAAATACCTCTCTGGGCACTGTCACACAACAACGACCTCACTGGCTGCTCCCTTTGTCTCCCGTGCCCGCCTCTTCTTCCTCTATCCAGCCTGTAAATGTTGACAAATCCCAGGCTGTTTCTCAGCCCTTTTCTTTTTCTTTTTTTTTTTAATATATATTTTATGGATTTTTTACAGAGAGGAAGGGAGAGGGATAGAGAGTTAGAAACATGGATGAGAGAGAAACATCGATCAGCTGCCTCCTGCATACTCCCCACTGGGAATGTGCCCGCAACCAAGGTACATGCCCTTGACTGGAATCGAACCTGGGACCCTTGAGTCCACAGGCCGACGCTCTATCCACTGAGCCAAACCAGCTAGGGCTCAGCCCTTTTCTATCCATAATCTCTCAAAGTAATATCATTCATTCCTATGACTTAAAAATTGTTACGTAAATTTTCAATCAAATACAAAGCAGTATACTGAAACCCGTGTATCTATCAACATTTAGCATTCCTATACGCCGACAACTCCCCAATGTTTCCTGTAGCCCAGGCATCTCCTTTAAGGAGTCAGATAGGTTAGAGTCATATAGGTTTAGGTCAGTGGTTCTCAACCTTCCTAATGCTGTGACCCTTTAATACAGTTCCTCATGTTGTGGTGACCCCCAACCATAAAATTATTTTCGTTACTACTTCATAACTGTAATTTTGCTACTGTTATGAATCGTAATGTAAATATCTGATATGCTATATGTGTTTTCCGATGGTCGAGACCCACAGGTTGAGAACTGCTGGTTTAGGCCAACTGCTTGCCTACTTGGCCTTCCCATCTGAATTCCAGCCATCTTAAACTGCTCCCCACCCCACACCTGTTCCTCCCTTTCTGACTTACTAGCAAGATGGCGGGGACCTTGTGTGCTTTATTCGCTGTTCACAATAATAGCACCCAGCATATGGTGGGCACTTACATACCAATGGAACAAATAACTCAGTAAATGGCACAAGCGTCCACTCAGTTGGCCATTGCCCTTGATTCTGTACCCTTTCCATAGTCAGACTGATCCTTTAAAAACTGAGGATCAGATCATGTCACACTAGAATTTATACCTTCAAATGTTTCCCACAGCTTCCAGAATAAAACCCAAGCTCTCTAAGACGGTTTGCAAGGCCTGGAATTACCTGGCCCCTGCTCCTTGTCACCTGCCCTCTAGCCAGTCTTCCTTTCACTCCTGTGCTCCAGCCTCCTAGACTTTACTGGGGTTTCCCAGCATGCCTGACTCCTTCCCGCTCAGGACTTCCATGCACACTGACCCTTCAGGTCTCAGCTTAACATCATCTTTTAAAAATATGTATATTTTTATTGATTTCAGAGAGGAAGGGAGAGGGAGAGAGAGATAGAAACATTAATGATGAAACAAAATCATTCCTGCACGCCCCTCACTGGAGATCGAGCTGTGACCTCCTAGTTCATAGGTTGATGCTCAACCACCGATCCACACTGGCCAGGCTTAACACCATCTTCTTGAAGAGGCCTTCCATGACCTCGTGTGGTAGGTTCCCCGGTTTTCTCTCACAGCAAATCTGTAAGTCTATGGCTTCCTGAGGTTAGTGACCAAGGCTATTATGCTCAGTTCCCTAGGGCTTCAAAGACATCATATACATTCAATATTTGATGGAATCAGATCATTAACTGGGACTGAGTCCTAAAGAACATGTACAGTTAAGGCAGAGTAGAGCCCAGGGAGTAGTCAAAGAGGACAGGGGACCTGAGAGAGCAATCAGAAAGCCAACAGGTTGGACAGAGATAAGGACTCCAGGCTCAAGAGCATGTGGCCCCAGCAGGAAGTCAGGGTACTGGGCAGACCCAGGTCCAGTTCTCGTTTCCTGGCTTTGTGACCTTGGTCGCTGTGGGTAAACATGTTGAGTAAATATCTTCAGCCTCAGCTGAAAGAAAATATGAATTTCATGGGCTCATATCACCTGTGTGAAAAAAGTAAGACACGAAGTAGATGCTCAATAACAGAACAAAAATAAAAGGAGGTTGCCCGGCTGGCATGGCTCAGTGGTTGAGCTTCCACATATGAACCAGGATGTCGTGGTACATGTCTGGGTTGTGAGCTTGATCCCCAGTGGGGGGCATGCAGGAAGCAGCCGGTAGATGACTCTCTCTCATCATTGATGTTTCTATCCCTCTCCCTTCCTCTCGCTCTAAAAAAAATTAATAAAAACATATTTTCAAAAAATATAAAAGGAGGCTGATTTGTTAATCAACTTGGAAACATCAAATTTGGAAATACAAGTTGAGCATCAGTCCTAGGAAGGGCGCTGGGCCTGAAGCCAGACAAACTTGGGTTCCGGCTAGAAAATGCCTTTTCTAGGTGTGTCTCACACCCTTTGAGGTCCCATCTCTTCTCTAAAATGCAGATCCTATTACTTACTTCTTAGGATTGCTACTGGGATTTAATGGAATAAGTCACATAAAGCAAGAGTTTAACAAACAGGTAGTTTCTTTGCTTCTTCATTTTTAGGTGCCAACTGTATTTTCTAGAGGCTCCTTAACTAATTAAAAGCCAACAAATGAAAACATGCCATTTAAATTATGCAATGCAAAGAAAACGAGAAAGTAAACCTACGTGTAAGTTAGTACAGGCTTTTTTTTTTTTTAAATGTGAAAAAATGGGACATGAATTATGTCAAAGTGATGGATTCAGAAAACCGAATTGAATCCAACGAGGTTAGACAAAAAGTTAAAACATGAACCCGACGCTTACCTAGTGCGGATCATTGTAAATACTTTTTGATGCACGACTTTAAATGCAAGTCAGACTGTTCCTAGGACTGAGACCTCCTCCTACCCTCCCCTCCACGGGGGCGCAGCGCTC